CACGTATTTTCAAGGCGTATTGTTGGGGTATGTGCTAAAGCTTACGAGTTCGGTTCTTCAAATAGATCTTAGAGGTTTGAGATTTAATGGTTTGATTCAATGTTTTTTTTTGTCAAATCGTTTTAAATCTATAAACAATGGCCAGCCGCTTGAGGCATCAAAGTTTATATCAACATGTTGGTTCGATCGGCCTCCGTTCATATATTTTTTACAGTGAATTTTATTCTTCGCTATATTACTTTATATTTGATTTGCAGATTGAATGAGAACAAGTCCAGTATTTTTGTTTTCTTCCATTGTTGGTTTTTTCATTGGTTCAAATATATTTATTGTTTCATGCTGACAATTGAGGAGTTTCGCAAAAACTACATACCATTAACAACAAAACGAGACTCATAGAGCAAAAAGAAATCAAAACATGAAGAATCTCAATCACTTTATACTCCCCGTAGTCGTGTTCCTAACCATCTCCACCGTAATCAACGGTGGAATAACAAGCGAATATGTCCGTCAAGCTCAATCATCGGTCGAGATGCCTCTCAAAACCTTCCGTACTCCTTCCGGTCACTATGTTCCTGAACAGGTTTTGATTTCTTCATTCTTTTCTCAATATATATAGTCTCTCTTAACCTTTTTTTTTTTTATATTGTTATGTTTTCTAGGTTCATTTAACGCAAGTAGATCACGATGGACGCGCAATGATCATCTCGTGGGTCACTATATTGAATCTAGCCGGTTCTAACGTCGTTACTTACTAGATCGACGGTAATAGTTCTACCATCGGTAACAGTAGTGGCGTGAAGATGGCAAAAAAGAAAGTTCATGGTTCTACGTCTTTTTACAGATTCTATGACTATACGTCTGGTTATCTTCAGCACACCAATATATATTAAAGGACTTGAGGTTTGTAATACTTTAAATTATTTATAACTTGTCACACAAGTAACTATATGGAGTTCTTATTTTATGGTTTCTTGTTTTACATGGCAGTACAATACCACGTACATTTATGAGGTTGGTACCGATCAATCCGTGAGATAGTTCAACTTCACAACGCCTCCGGCTGTCCGACCTGATGTTCCATACACCTTCAAAATTATTGGTAAATCTTTCGATTTTTTCGTGTTTTTTTGTTTATATACAGTGGCGATGTGAATTTTTTTTGTTTATTTTCCGATATTTAAGCACTAATCAATGTGATTTTATTGCTTCTTTATTGCTAGAAGTTAGTGAATTAATATCCTTGATAAAATTATTTTCCTTATTAATTAGCTTTTGATTTTTAATTATAGAAGATTTTCCTTTTTGTTAATTTCGATATTGATTTTTTTAAATTAAATATATTTTTTTTGGTGCAATGATCTTTTCTTTTAAAAATAAAACAATATATATATGGTGTCGTCGGCCACTTCTTGGTGCGTGCCAAACACTAATTTATTATGTTAACCATTGATTTCCTATCTTATATATTCTTCTCTTTGTATATTTTCTTTTCCTAGCAATTTTTTCTTTCCTATGTAATTGAATATTTCTCTGTCTAGATTCTGGTGTGGTATCAAAATTTTCATTATTGTTTTCCTCATAAACCTGAAGATTCATGCAAATAGAACTTCAATCATGTGTATACTTATTAATTTTTTAAAGTACTGTTAACCCGAATTATGGTTTAGGTTTTTCTGTTTGGAAAGCAGATTATCGAAATTAAAAATTGGTATTGAAGTATAGATCAAGTAGTGTGTGTTTTGTTTCGTTATTTACTTCTATAGAGACATCTCGCTCATTTCAGTTTAGTTACAGGTTAAAATTTTGATTTCTTGGATATAAAAAACAAAATCATTTTAACAACAAAATCTTGATCTTAGACAGTTTTTACCTCCAATTAATGAGCATACGGAGGAATCTAGACAAAGGAATGTTTATGGTGATCAATGGCTCGAACCGGATTGTGAAATGTCTGAGCTGACAAGGCATGGTCCTCTGCTGTAAGTGCCTCTTTAGCTACTTCTTGAGAAGATATAACCATTGTGGTATAATATTCCAAGCTTCAACTATAGGTCCATAAGTTTTGGAAAATACAGCAAGTGAATACTTTCGTCCCTGAAGCTCCTTCATGTTTTTGCGGTGGCAAAGAAGAAAAGGAAAAATGTGAAGAGAAAACAGAGGAGCTAGGACATGGCTGGCAATAGTGAGATGTCTATTGGCACGACCGTGTTACTTTTTTGTATAAAACGTATAACTCACTCATGCATGTATATATGTAATATTTTCGAGTCATTTTATGATTTTGTTAGAGCATCCTCACCTCAATGGTGGGTAAGTTTGGCCAGAAGTATTTAATAATATTTTAGTGAGTGAGTATTTTAAATAGTGGAGAAACCCACCCATAAAATAGTTTGTAAAAAGATAAAACGATGAATAAAAATCGATTTGATGAAAATTGACAAAGCATCAAAGAGAAGTCAATATCAAACCTAAACTTAAAAAGAAATTTTGTAATAAAAATTGGTATGTCAAAGTTTATATTGACTGCATAAATTAAAGAAGCAGAAGATGGATAATGAGAAACTATATAAATGGTTTTCAATTTTTCATCACAACAACTTGAGCATGTCGTGTTTAGAATAGTTGCTAAAGGAATGAGAGTTGTTCGTTCGATTGAGCATGCATGTTATCACATCGAAAGAGTCTTTGAATATCTTATAATTTAGTGATATGCTTAATGATATTTGGTTTTCAATTCTGAATGTTTTGTGACACGTAAAAGTAAGAGAATGCATATCAATTTACTTTTGGTGTTTTATAGTTTGGTATTGCTCATTATGCTTACTATGAATCTATGTTGTTTAATTTAACCCTTGCACATGCTATTTATGGCTCAATGGAATTAATGTAATAATACTTGCGGTATCGTCTTTCTTTTTCTTCAAATTCGGCGCCATCATTATGAGAATCAAAGCCATGCACATTTGATTCATCAAGGTCAGCTCAGCATCCTCTCTCTATTGATCATATCAGTCTTGATCTTTGTCTCCTTCTTTTCTATCCCGGTAAAATTTAGTTCGGTGGTAATCGATTGAAAATTCATTCGATGACCGAATTTTTTACTACGTCTCAGTCCTTAGGTTAAGAGTTGTGTACAATGGTGATATTATAACATTTTTCATTTCAATACCTTTACATGTTTGTTAAGTCACCTTTGGTAGCTCTGTTATGTAATTATTTTCAAATTGAGTAAAAGGTCAAATCTTATAAACAAAAATAACATCTACATTAAAAAAGAACATTATACTTATAAAACTAAAATATTAATTTTTAAAATTAGATCTAAAAATTGAATCTTAAATTCAAAATGGTAAAAGTAGCATAAATTTCGTAGGATTTTAAAATCAATTATAGGTTTTACACACAAGATAAAAATTTAAACATATTGTATTCGTTATATGTTTGTGTCTTACATGAGAAAAAAAATGAAATTTTCCACTGAATCATAGTTTTATTCAGTTTGTATCAGTTCGTTCCGAGTTGAAAGTAGTCGATCCATGGACTTTGGTGATAAGATCGATGAAATCAAAACAATGGCTATATAAGCATGGCAGATATATAGATGCTTGCATAGAACTTTGTGAGAAGAAAAATCGCGATATGAACATAAAACCATGCACCAAATCCTTCTTTCTGCAACGTTACATACGAAAAAAACCAAATCAAATTATTAGTTCTTTCTGCAACGTTACATACGAATCAAATTTTTCTATAACCGAACTGAATCGAATCGTAATTTTATTCAGTGTGTGAGGTTAAGGCTCCTCTAGGGTTAAGACCCCCTTTTAGGATTAGTTACTCTAATTTGCTAAAAAAAATAAACCTTTTAATTTGCTAAAAATATTGATGATATATTTATAAATTACAAAAAATATCATTATTATAAAATGAGTATGTGTCCTAACATTTTCTTTTATTGTTGTAGTAATTATATCATGATTGTTGTAGTAATTTTCACTAAAAACAAAATTAAATTATAACTTTATTTATTTTTGTAACGTTAGATACGTAACAATTTTTTTATAGCCTTACTGAACTGAACCGTATATTTATTCAATGTGTGAGAGTTAATGGCTTAATTTCTTACAATTTTTTGGGGTTATTTTCTTACTGTTCAATTTAGATGAATTTAGAAATAGGAAAGCTAAAAAATACTTCATATACTTATATAGAGATTTTTTTTAGTTGTATCTTGAGTTTTACA